GGATGATGAAATAAAGGAAGAAGAATAGCTGTAGTGATGGAATTAAGTAACGAAACATTATCACATCACAGAAAAAAGTGAACTTTTTTCCCAAAAAAAGAATGAAGACTGTGTTGAAAATAAATAAAAAGTCATCAGTTGATAGAGTTCAATGTGCTGAATTCAATGATTAAAGATTTTTTCAAAAGCAAGAATGTTTTCAAACTGAAAACATGTTTTCTTTTAAAAATGTGTTCTTTTTTGCTGGAGTGATGTGATTAGGAATAGAGCAGAACAGAACAAAAAAGAGAGTAGGTCTCTTTGTTACGATCACTGCTCACTTATATTCTATTGTTTTTTGATAAAAAGTACATGAATCGATAGAGAAATGTTTGCTCTATTCCGAAATCAAAAAACTATGTCGAAAGGATCTACAAAACGTGTGATATTCGCAGTTTTCTTGCAGATTTGAATATGCTGATGTAATTTGGATCAATCACTCTACTATATATGCACGAAATCTTGATGCAAAATTAGGTGATGATGGATTTGTGGTAGGTAAGCAAGCAGGAATTATTTTTGATTCATTACGTAAAGTATTCGTTGCTAAAAAAATAAGTCTATACTGTACTTGTTTTTATAATCACTATACACATACCATAATTCGGTTGACCATGCAACGTTGTTTCTGAATACCTTTTCGGCGATGGTGTAGCAAAACTAATCGACGAAGAAGATTGCTCCTTCATCGGTGTTGATCGAATATTGCCGAAATTACTTGTGTCTTGTTCCAATCCTGAGAGATCGATGGTTTTTAAAGCTGAATATATGTCATCGCGTGATAATCTTGAGGGAGTAACGCACACTCCTAATACTAAAATAAAAAAGAATAGATTATGTAGGAAAAGGATTAAAATGTTTTATACTATCTGGACTTTCAAAGGTACGTTTGCCTTTGAATTCATCTAAATCTTCTTTGATAATATCTTCTAAATATGCTTTTAATTTTTCGCGAAAATCAACATTTTGAATTTTCTCTTTCAAATCAGATGGCTTAAAATCATGATCAAGCCAAATAAGAATGTGTAAATGAAGAGAGCCACGTCCTTGATTTTCAACAGCACCAAAGTAAGCTTTTATAGGTCCAAGAACACCACCAACTATCATAGTATCTAATATGTTACTGATCAATAAATGGAAAAACTTGATAGTAGCCACAGGATGTGAAGCAATAATTTCAGCTCTTTTATAAGTAGTCATTAGTTGTTCTATTTGAATGTTGTCTAAATCAAGCTTCGCACCGGCAAAATATAGTGCAACAGGACCGTGAATATCGACCGGATTCAAAGTTAGAAAAATGCTTGGTAGACCTTGATTATAGATTAGTGCATGAATACGAGTGCGTAAAGCTGTTCTTGAATACGCTGAACCCATAACTCGACCACCGATGGTCTTAATATGATTGAGTAGCTTATTTAATGATACATTGAATGTCGAGCTACACGTAGTTTTTTGTACTTTTGTTGAGAGCCATTTCAATATCGTTACTGTTTAATGACTGAATTTCTTGAGCAGATGCTTGAAAGTAAGGTTTTGTGGCTATCAGTTGAGCGTGAAAACAAGCATTACGTCGTTGCAAAAGATTAAAAACTACAAATATAAAGCTATGATTGGTTTCAAATCGTCCATCAGTGTAGGACAATAGGTAACGTATGTGTTCTCGTAATTTTATTTCAACTGGACGCGATTTATCTTCGGGTGATCCATATCCATAACAGAATAGAGTTGGATACAGCCCTAGTAGTAGTTTTGGATTAAAATATTCA